TACGTGCGCGCGAAAGCTGTATTTAAGTGAAACTGCAGCAGTTCGCTAGGTTGCATGCCTTTTGAAAAGGCAGTCTGACAAATAAATCTTACGTTTCAGCCATCGGCACGTCCGATTTTGGAGGACGCTCTTCCATAAATTTATTGATAAAAGTTTCGGGATAGCAATTTTCTCGCAGTTTTTTCATGAAGGCAAGGTCGTTTTCCGATGTGTCTGGAGTACATATTTTCTAAGTTAAGTTTGTTCGACAGTGGACAAGGCTTCGTTTCGGACTAAGTTTAAAATAACTGTTGAAATTGCTGTACTGCCCTGTGTTGGTTTTCTTGCGATATACACTTCTACTTGTTGTTCTATCAAACGTTATATTTTAATTATTTTACGCTCTTATATCACCGTAACTGCCAGATGGACGTGGACGCTCACGGCTATCTTGAAAATCAGCTCCAATGAAGTTTAGGAGCCGCGTAAGCTCATATTCCCATTTGATTGCTCTTTGCAAAAATAGGAATCATGTCAGCTATTGATACAGTTATATGAATATATTGCTACGATATACTATACACTGGGCTTAGTTAGTATGATTACCAGAATTAGCAATCTTAGCAGTGGCGTATTACCTCTAGCAGCAGTATCCTAGCCCAAACTTCGTAAAATGTGACAACAGCAGTTAATTTGCTTTATCAGTTACACTTAATTCAAATCTAGCTTACATTGAAATATAACTGGCTGTAACCTTATTACTCAGTTTAGAAACAACTGTACCTCTTAATTTACACAGTCGGGTCTTTTAGTTTAGATTTGCTTACTTTTGATATTGTAGACTAGTCCTCGAAGCCTAGTCTAAGTTTTTACCCTTTTGCAGTCTCAGCAACACTGTTGTCCTCTAGTACCATACTTGTAGCGCATCTATTTAGCAAGATGATGGTGTGACCTCTGAAAAATGGTAGCGCCAGTGCTAGCACGAGTACTGCTACACTTCTTGTTGAGATTGTGGGGATATGAGCCCAGTGCTGACTTTAACCAGCGTCATTTTCTAAATAATAATGTAGCAAGAAATACTATTACTCAGCTGAACCCCTAGTTAGTAGTATTAGAAATATCAGTAGCAGTACCAACCTTAGTTTCCAGAACTCTGGCTTGACAGCTACTAAAGGTGGGTATTTACTCGGAATAGCTTTAACCCACATTCACACTCCCTACTGGGATCAAGGGGATGTGAGCAGACGTTCTTTAAAGTCCAAGCTATGAATAGATACAGTGTTAGGCCTAAATGTTAGTTTATAGACTGCAAACTGCACGCCATAAGGGTATGGTAGGACTTGTGCATTATTATCGAAATGCTCATCACTTTCACACCGATTGGGAATGCATACTTGGTACGACTTCTTAAAAAGCACACACAGGCCGTTCTTATAGTGTACTATCTACTGGCCTTAGCAAGCATGAGTAATATAAATTAGCAGCAGTATCTTAGTCCATACAGCTCGATGGATAGGGTTAAGAATGCGAAGACAAAGGTAAACGTTCTTGTGCTTAGAATCCCAAGTACGTACATACACGAAATAGTTAAAATCCACATTCACACTCCTTGTTGAGACCAAGAGGGTAGGAGCCCCAGCGTCAACTTTAACCCAGCGTCACTTCTGACAAATTTTAGTGTCAGATATGGTACTGATACTACTAAGACTCGGCTACATTGATAGTCAGTATCAGTAGAAACAGTAGTAACCGTATCAGTGTCAGCCTCCTTGGGTCTGTCTTCACACCTACTATGGGTGAATGAGAGTAGATAGTATAGTAGTACCCGCGCAAGGTCTACTGTCACTTAAAACTAAGTAAGCCGGTGTTTCGGCTTGCATTAGAGAGAGCAACCTACGCTGGACCCCATTTAATATTCGAGACTCTGGGAGAAGGTGAAGATTTCGGAGCCGCTAACTACGTCCTCTATCACTTTAAAGTTATTTCCTGAGGCCGTTACCTTCTGTACTAATTTGTGGGTGCACTTGGTGCACTTCATCGAAATCGATGGTCGAACACATACCTACACCGTAACTGCCTGATGATTAATAATTAAAAATCTGCGTTCGCCAGATTTGGTATTTTGAATGCTTGTGTGGGTATAACCACTGAAAGTAAGAAACTTATTGGACGCACATATTACCTTGGCAACACTCTGTCAAAGGGCATAATGAGCTTTTTCTTACATTGATTAAGCTAATATAAGCAAAACATACAGAATTGAACGGCTTAATAAATG